AAACATACAAAACGGTGTTTTATGAAATTCAAAAGTTGCCAGTAGTTTTCTGTGAGGGGTAGGTTTAGGTGTAGGGTTGGTGTAGGGTGATAGAAAATACAGTTTATACAGTATAAAAACTATTACACCTATGGAGAGTCCCCGCAAACCACAAATGCAAGTATGTGTGTGTGTGTGTGTGTGAGTGTGTATGTATGTACAGTGCGTGCATAATTATTAGGCAAGTTGATACTCTGATCATATTTTTTTTTACCAAGCACATTTTACAAATTCCAAACCACATCAATTTTAATAACTTTTTTTCATCATTTTATCGGTAAAAGAAACCCTACCTAATAATTATGCACACCTGAATATATGAAGTTTTTCACTTCCAGCCTTCATGGACAATTATATATCACTTATAAATGATTAAATACAAAATTAATAGTAGTTATTAAGATTGATGTGGTTTGGAAAAAAAATATGATCAGAATATCAACTTGCCTAATAATTATGCACGCACTGTACATACAAACACAAACATACACACACACATACATAAATAAATATGAATATAAATATAAATAATCTGCTATAGAATCCAAGGCTACTAGGAGCGTACTACAACCTTTAGAACATGAAAAAAAAATAGTTTTGGTGAATTAGTTTTTAATAAAAAATAGTTGTGTGCTGTACATACAGTAAGGGTGTTATTGTCAAAATTTAACCTGTAGTAAGTCAGTCTGGTCACTACGAACGTACTGCAACCTTTGGAACATGAAAAAAAAAACTTTTGGTGAATTACAGTAATTTTTAAGATTAATTATTTACTGTATGTACAGTAAGGACGATATTGGCAAAATTTCATGTGTAGTAAGTCAGTCTTGTAACTACAAACGTACTACAACCTTTGGAATATAAACAACCCTTTTGGTGAATTACAGTAATTGTTTTCTAAGAATAATTATGTACTGTACGTGCAGTAAGGGAGATATTGGCAAAATTTCACCTGTAGTAAGTCTGTCTTGTAACTACAAACGTACTACAAGCTTTGGAACATAAAAAAAACCCTTATGGTGAATTACAGTCATTGTTTTCTAAGAATAATTATGTACTGTATGTACAGTAAGGAAGATATTGGCAAAATCTCACCTGTAGTAAGTCTGTCTTGTAACTACAAACGTACTACAGAATTTGGAACATGAAAAAACCCTTTTGGTGTATTACAGTCAATTTTTTTCTAAGATTAATTATGTACTGTATGTACAGTAAGGAAGATATTGGCAAAATCTCACCTGTAGTAAGTCAGTCTCATAACTACAAACGTACTACAGCCTTTGGAACATGAAAGAAAAAAACTTTTGGTGAATTAAAGTAATTTTTTCATAAAAATATTTGTGTACTGTACATACAGTAAGGAAGATATTGGCAAAATTTCACTTGTAGTAAGTCAGTCTTGTATCTACAAACATACTACAGCCTTTGGAACATGGAAAAAAACACTAGTGAATTACAGTATTTTTTTCTAAGAATAATTAAGTACTGTACATACAGTAAGGGAGATATTGGCAAAATGTCACCTGTAGTAAGTCAATCTTGTAACTTCAGACGTACTACAGCCTTTGGAACATGAAAAAAACTTTTTTGGTGAATTTTAGTACTGCTTTCTAAGAATAACTATGTACTGTATGTACAGTAAGAGAGATATTGGCAAAATTTCATGTGTAGTTAAGTCAGTCTTGTATCTAGGAATGTACTACAACCTTTGGAGTGTGGGGAAAAATTTTGGTAAATTGCTATAATTTTGTCATAAAATATTTTTGTACTGTACATACAGTAAAGGAGGTATTGGTAAAATTTCACCTATAGTAAGTTAGTATTGTAACTAGGAATGTACTATGACCTTTGGAACATTAATAAAAACACTTCTGGTGAATTACAGTATTTTTTTCATGAAAATATTTGTGTACTGTACAGCAAGGGAGATATCGGCAAAATTTCAAATGTAGTAAGTCAGTCTGACCACTAGGTTTAGGTTACCCACTGCTGTGTGAGCTACTCCCCCAGCGACTTAAGACTGTTTTTGTTGTCCAGGGTCACATTTCATTCTAGGGACAAATCCTAGGGTTGTAAATGGACATGTAAAACCGTTTCTGAAGATTGTTTGCCCTTACCTAAGCCACATACCTTCTATGTAGATATCAGAGAACAATTTAAAATATTGTATCAATGCATTCTATGGCACCTTTAAAAGTGTGTTTTAGATATTTTCTTTCCACTAGTCTGACACAACATGTTACGAAAAGCAAAATAGCCCAAGATTAAAATTAACCAGTGCATGAAAAACAATGGTTTTCCCTGTAGTGTCTAGTTTAAAATGGGACTCTATTGATTTGTTGTGTATATATTGTAATTTGCTAGGTTTGCTGTAATGCCTACAGACCAGAAGCAGCACGTCATCAGATCCAGAGTGGAGCTCACAGCCCTCCTAAATATAGGTATGATGCATTAATATACACACAGTTCATTTACATCTATATTACATCCCTTATTTTCTTCAATGTCACTCACTTTACTCTTGTTACTATGATGAAGGGTTATCGGGGCGATGAGCAACTATGAAGAGTTCCATAAAGCTTTTAACTGCCCTGAGACGTCAATCCTGAACAGGGGGACAAAGTCCTGTCGAGTGTGGTAATGAAAAAGAGGACCCTGTGAAGATTTCAATCACAGCACAACCCAAATCTCCCTATTTTGTCTCGTTCACTGGTTTCTTATAGTGAAACAGCGGTTACTAACACTGAATTCTGGGGCCGTGCTGACGACTGAACACCTGGCCCTCCTTCAGCCACTGGAACACTGTAGATAAAATGTACAGTGCCTACAAACCTGAGAGTGCTTCAGTCAGATCTGCATTTTACTGTCTGACCTCAATTAAAATGTGCAAATGCCAAACGGACCATAAAATTCCTTTGAGGCCTTTCTTTGGTTCATCACTGTTTTTTTTACACAAACCAATTATGTTGCACTGTCGCTTTAAGAGTGCTATAAATTATTATTGTAATTTTCGTTGTTGTTGATAACAGTTAACATTGTCTGTCATTTTATTTGATTGAAAACACAAGTAAATAATTATTGTTTTCCTGAGGTTTTCTAATTGTCTTTGTGGTTTTGTTTTGTTTTTTTCTTCGTAGAAAAACAACTGTGTATTTTACATAGTAAAGTCATGATAAAACAGATCTTTGCTTTAGTATTGTGACATACATCACAGTGTAATGAATTATCGAAAAAGTAAAAAAACCTGTAGCGTGGAGACTTTTAAGATGTGGGCCGGCATATGTCAGAAGAGACAAGTCTATCGTTTTCATCAGAAAGATTACGTTATAATTAAAATAAATGTTAAATTAAACATTCATTCACAATAAGACCTATAACATACATTTACAAGAAAAGACAAGGTGAATTTTAATTTCATGTTTAAACCTGATGTAATTTATGAGCCAGAAACTGTTTTCAAATATCCCGTCTGTTAAAAATGTATTTATTTATTCATTTGGCCTTAATAAGCAGCATAATATACAGTCAGCCTGTCATTATAGCAGAATAAAAACAGACGGGATGATCAGGTCCATTGTCTCTAGCCTACATATTTAGCTGGGATAAAAAATTAAAAATAAAATATATATATATATCCAATCACTTTAAATGTTTAAAGGTAAAATGCCTTGATGGAAGTTCGGAGAGGAGGGGAAGGGGCGGCACATTAACTCGTTTGGGGAGGGCAAAGCCCGTGAATGCCTCCCGCCCCACCCAAGGAGAGGAAATCAATGCAAATGTCATTTTTTTTCCATTTTCACATGACCAGTTAGGAAACGTGTATGAATACCAGTCTAATAAAGCACATGAGGAAATTGGATGAATGAAAAAAGGAACCAGCCCTGTTGGACAAACTCAGAACATGAATTAAGCACACACACGCACACACACACTGCAGCAGTCCAATAATGCAGATAGGATGTGAACCAAAATCAATTGCTTTGACCTCCATTTACGTAGAAATAACAGAGCAAGCCTTGTGGGGGCAAAACGGTGGAACGCAGAATTTCATTGATTGGAGTGCTAAAAAGGAAAGGTCTAAAAATAGCCCAGAGTTCCTGAGGAGATGCATCCGTCAGTCTGTGTGTAGTAATGTTTGCTGTCATTCTGAGGCGCGGGAGAAAGAGAGTGAAAAAGTATAATGGGCTCAAATGTCCAGAGGGCCAAATCTTCATTCTGCCCAGAGGAAACTGGAGATGAAAGAGAGAGAGAAAGCTGGAGGTGGCGAGAGTGAGTTTTGTAGAACAATGCCAGAGGCAGCCAATTCGTCCACAGAAGCATTAGGCTTGTGAATGTGAGAACACAACTGTGCCCTGCAGTGTCACATGCTATACTTCATCTAAAATGATCTTAAATAAAAACATTTTTTTATATATAAATATTATGCATGGAGTTTTTACTGAACCCATTAATTGAGACTACATGAAATATACATAAAAAACAAGGTTTTCAAACTATATATATTTTATATATTCAAATATAATATAATATATGACCTTTGAAGCAACAGAACAGTTTTATGTGAGGATGGCATTATGCATTAAAAAACAATAACAGCTTATGAATATGAAAATTAAAAATAAATAAATAACTTAAAAAAGAAACGACCAGTAACACTGAATTAAACATTAAATTTTGAAGTAGAAAGACTGAAAAATGTTCTCTAATAATCTTTTTTTATTTACAACTTGAAAAAAAATTTTTTTTACAGTGTATACCCTTACACATTTACATTAATTCCATTTTATTTCTGTAACTCATAATTACCCCCAATGGCAAGTTTTTTTTTTTTTTTTCACTAGCCTGTACATCCACATCCAACCATTATTTATTATTTGATAGGTAAAAAATCACATACACAAGGCTCCTCAGATGATTCAGAGCTCACAAATCTATTAGAATGAAAAATAAAGACAGCACTTCAATTAACTGTTTCCTCTGCTTCTCTTGGTCTCTTTATCTCTCGCTCTCCCCCTCACACTGGCTGTCTTTGAGACAAGGCTAATAACGTAATTATGTGCATTTATGTATAGGCTACTGTTCCTATGGTAACCTGAAGAGTTTGTAGAGGGGTCTGCACTGTCTGTGAGAGAGCAAGAACATAATTACATTATCAGGGCATGCATCATCTTTACTCAAACCGATCACATTCTTTCCCCATAATGCACTACAACTGATGGCTTGAGCTAATGAGGATGTGGGGCAATCTCAGAGCTAAAAGAGCAATAATCAATTCAGTGGTTAATAGGCCCATCTATCTTTAAATGATCACACCATAGTGAATTAAAAGCCAATTCCATTAACTTATCCTTTGTCTTTGAGTACTAAAATTGCTTCTGTAGATATTGTAGGCAATTACAGTACTAGATTTTGCCTGTGAGAGAGTGTTTTTCATAAGTTGTCCACTAGATGGAGTTTTAAGCATGTTTGTGTGTTTAAAGGCCTACATTTTCTTTGTCTTTTATCCTATTTGTATGTTTGCATCTTTAAACAGACACATTGGATGTTGCATTGGTTGACAGGTAGTTTATACAAATAAAAATAGCTCATGCTTCGCTTTTTGCAGATCTTACCTGTTGAGGTTCACTTTGGTCTATTCTCTGGGGTTTAATTACGTTGGGCTTGAGTGGCATCCTGATAGCCCTGAGCAGCACGCAGAGATAGAAACATGGGTACTAAGAGCTTTTTGAAAGCATTATACACAGCTGGATGAGCCTGGAGTGCACAGAACTTTTTAAACACCCAGACCTGAGTGTACACTGTCTATCTATCTATCTGTCTATACTGAAACACTCTGTGAATTAACTAATTTCTTCAAATGGTAGGAATGAAACTGAAACGTGGAAATGAAAAGTGAAATCATCTATCTGTTTACTGAAAATATATCTATCAGTAGAGGTGTTGCTTGAATTACAAACTGCAGCCGTTTTCAAATTGTATATAGTGCTTCCAGATGACATTTAAGTGGCAGAGAATTGACATTATCCTTCCCAGGTGGTCCAGGTTATGAACCAGCAGGAATTCAAGCCAGAGAACATGACAGGAGGAACATTTGGGTCAGACAGTTTATCTGCCCACAGGTTTTTGTAGACATTATGTTTTCCATTGGTGCCCGGCAGAGTGTAGAAGATAGATTCACCGTTAATATTCTATCAAGTAAGGAAGAGCTAAGCTGGGACCTCACCGTTAAGAGGTCAGGTTGTCAGATTCTCCTCACGGGCTTATCCAAAATAAATACACTTGGAGATACGCTGAAAGCGAGCCGGCCAAGAAATGGAAGAATTATTTATAGATGTGTATGGTGAAAATGCAGCAAGAGATGAGTCTAGGGAATGCAGGAGCCAATGGTTTTTTTGTGAGCAATTCCTTGTAGAAAAAACGACTGGATGCCACTTTATCACTTATCAATAATGCAGGTATCAATATGGGCAAATAATTTACTTAGAGAAAGTTCACAAGGAAAGAAAATATCTGTTTCTTCTAGTACTCTGTCATTTAAGACCACCTTCTAAGGAATTATTGTGGAGATCTGATTCTTATCTGTGTCCTTGAGAAACAACATAAAAGCTTGCTAAAAATTAAATCGCCTGGTTTTTAGTGTGACCATGAAGTAACATTCCACGTGTTTCTTGGTGGTGGTAATGATAGAGAATGGACTCAGAGGCGGGAATGATTATGGGGGTAATCAGAGTAACAAGCACATGAGCTGTCAGGTGGGAATGAATGTGAGTGATCTCAAGTATGATTTATGATCGCCAATCCAGGAGAACTAAATTATTGCCTCCACCTCTCATAAAAAAAATACCATCTGGAGTGGAACATGCTGACACACTTAAATCACATTCAATCGATTTAGGTGGTAGTAAAATGTATGGACATATGCTCCTCTATATGAATATCATGGTTTATGTTGTTTGGCAGGCAGAAGGTTTTGTTTAAGGGTCAATTACATGACAATAATTTTTTATGTTTTGATTTATTCACAAATGTAAAAAAAAAAAAATGCAGTTCATACACAGAATGGCTTGAATGCATCTCTATGATGAGCATGTGTTTAATAAATTAAATGTAAAAAATACATTTTAAATTCTAAATTAATTTTGACATAATTGTGAATGAAATCAATAGAATTCTTGTCTGAAGTATTCTCAGCTGCATAATCAATGACAAATAAAGGTGTCTGTCTTATAAACAGTTTTGAAAAATATTTTTAAAATATGTTGCAAAAATAAACACCCTCAACAATATTTCTCCAAAAATTACCTTGAAAAGATGTGCTATATATATATATATATATATATATACACACACACACACACACACACACACACACACACACAAATACAAATACATATACAAATACATATAATTTTCACCACTCATGAAACTTTTGTGTTCTCTAACTTATGTGATCTAAGAAAAAGTTTTGCGAGCGAAAGCAAAAGCACTGAAATATAATTTCTCCACCCATCTCATATTTTTTTCCATCACCATGTTAACTTAGGGGTGCTGTAGAAACAAAAATGAACTTGACACATGTGTATTAAACATGATTTTTAAAAGATCTTATAAGATGTCTTTATCTTGTCATTGACCTATTTGCAGACGAAACTGGTTAGATGTTAGCTGTTTAGTTACATTATTGTTACATTAGTTCAACATGAAAACAAAAGGACGTCATTCTATGAATACTGACTGACAGTATCATGTGCCAAATTGAGATGCTGATGCTGACGTCTACAAATGCCCTTTACACAAATCTCTTCTGCAGAATTCACTTCTCTTTCTCTCACTTCGTTTTGAGAAATGTGCCATCGTAAGTCAGCGGGATAACTTGGATCAGTCATTGACAAGAACTTTGCCTCAGGGTCTGACGGACTGAACCGTTACACATCCATCAGCCCCTCAGACTTCACTTCAACACTAGCCTTCACACAGACACAGATGATTCATATTTCTTTAAGAACCTGCTCTAATCAACTGCTCTCACAGAATATAAATCCAAAACACAACACCCTCAGCAAGACATCCTTTC